CGCAGAGTGGTGTAGACCTCCACCCCCACAATTCTCGCAATTGGACGCTCTTCATATACTTGTCCAGCAGTCGCAGGGAGCCAGCCCTTTGTTTAACCCATTGCGCGCCGACACACACACACACACTCTCTCTCTCTCTCTCTCTCTCTCTCTCGCCGACGCCGACGCCGCCGCCGCCGTTTGCTCAAGGTTGTCATTTGCTGCTTTGCTCCGCTGAAACATCTCAACCTCGTCTCTCTCCCTCAAGCCCTCGAGCCTCGACGGTCACGCTCGCCGCCATCGCAGCCACCGCCGCCGCAGCCACCGCCGCCGCCAGTCCGCGCGCGTCCGAGCTAGTACCAAGCAGCACGCCCGCCATTTTTTGTTGCTCCGTACAATAGACCCTCTCGACGACCACCAGCCACACAGTAGAGTGAGAGAAGATACGCCGACGAGCTGCCTGTCTAATCTGCCTGCTCGCCTGCTTGCTTGCTTGCTTGCTTGCTTGCTTGCGTGCGTGCGTGCTTGCCCGCCCGCCCGTCCCGTCCATCGATGCGCGTGGCCGCCGCTGTCTAGACAGTCACCATGGGCCGCCGCAAGATTGAGATCAAGGCCATCAAGGACGACCGCAACCGCTCCGTGTAAGTAACATAGTAGTCGTAAGAGTTAGTCAGTCAGTCGTCATCGCCATCGTCATGATCGTGGTCGTTGTCATTGTCATTGTCTCGTCGTCGTATCGTGTCGCAGCCAACGCTAATCACCTGTATAGCACATTTCTCAAGCGCAAGGGGGGCCTATTCAAAAAGGCACATGAGCTCTCGGTGCTCTGTTCGGTAGATGTAGCCGTCATCATCTTCGGCCACAACAAGAAGCTCTACGAGTTTTCCTCGGGCGACATCAACGAGACGATTGGCCGCTACCAATATGTATGTCCCTCCGCCTAAGCAAGAAGACACGCTTCTTTTCTATCCACAGACAATAAGTCGTCGCTAACGCGCTTTGCACTATGGAGGTGCACATGAACACAAGGGCCCTGAGGACTTCATGGGCAAAAAGGATGGCGACGACGACGACGACGATGACGAAGAGGGCGCGCCTCCACGAGACTCCCACACCCCGCCCGAACACCCCGCCATGATTCCCCCTCACATGCAGCACCAGCAATTCCAGCACATCAGACACGCGGCGCCTTCCATGTCCCCGCCCATTGGCAATGGTGCCTTCCAACAACGCGGTGCCTCGCCCCAGCCTGGCCACCACCTGTCGCGACCCAACTCGAGCATCGGCCATGTTCGCCGCCCGAGCTCCAACCTCGCGCCTCCTCAGCCGTATCCCTCACAAGCACCGCCTCCGCCCTCTAGCTATGC